CTCCTTGGATCGTTAAAGAATCCTGTCGCTCTGATACCAATTGTTAGCGGAAACGTAAAAGAAAGAACGCAAGATTTAACGTGGTTCGGATCAAAATAATCCTACGTCCACCAGAGAACAATTGCCCTTTTAATATTAACAAAGGAAGGGGAGATTTCCCAATTACACTTAAGAGAATTTCTCTCTTAACTCTCTACTCACTACAATGTATTGTATTATTTTGGGATGATTTCTACAAGTGAAGGAGTGCATCTATTTATAGAGGTAAAGACCTACTCTTGATGTCATTGGTGACATCAAACTACCTCCTCTTGATGTCATGGGTGACATCAAAGGAGGAAGCTTCCTTCTAGCATCCACACCAACACTTTCCACCAACTCTTCCAATTGACATGCCATTGTTGACTAAACATAAACCAACATTTTCAGCATGCCATTGCTGACTAAACATAAACCAACATTTTCATAGCGATTCTGTTATTACTGACTATTAGTGCTTCTTTCATACTCTTTTTTGCTTTCTTGGGTTTTGTTTTCTAAATACCTTGTATTGATATTACTTGCTATACGCTTCTTCCATCCTTTCTTTAGCCGATGGCCTATCGGAAATAGTCTCCCTACCCCCTTCCAAGGTAGGGGTAAGACTGCGTACATCCTACCCTCCCAGACTCCACTTGTGGGATTACACTTGGTTGTTTTTGTTGTTGTTATTGTTGTTTGTTGGTGTTGGGGCCAGCTTATGCGCACACCGACTATTCCATCGGATACTCTCCCTCCTACCAGCATAAGTATCAAGTGACTCTACTCACAAACACGCTTAGGCATATGGGAAGAACTCACCTAGTCTCTTTTGCCTCCACTAAGATTTAACTTGAGACCTCATAATTCTCCTCCCACTTCATTTACCACTAGGCCACACCTTTGGGTTAGTTTGTAAGCTAACTTACTACAATTAAGGCACGTATCGCCACCTGTTCAGTGTTTATGAGTGACAACAGGAAACTCGTTTCGTGGAAATGAAATTATATTCCTAAATGATCCGTATATCTTGACGGTAACCGAGTCTTGGGTTGTTAACCTTGTCCTGTTATTAATTTAAGCTCATTGATTCAGATTAGTGAATCAGATTTTTGGTAAACTCTGGATCTCCAAGCCAAAAGACAAAGTGAACAAAAATAAAGTTGAGTAACTTCATTTATCAACATATAAGCTTGCCCCCTATATTAAATGGATAAAGAGAAAAGTAGAAGTGGTTGATTCAGTGTAGCTAGCAAGAAAAATAGCATGATACTGTTGCTCCTTTCAGTTATACTCATTTGCTTCCTTCTGAACATCATACTTTGAACGCGCAAATTCAATCAAAGCTTCTGTTAGCATTGGAAAATGAACAAGTCCCACCTGTATAAAAGTTAACATAAAAGATTTCTACAGTTGAAATCTTTTGGAAAGACTTTACTTTTAGTTACCAATTCAAAAAAAAAAAAATCTTTTGTAAAGACTTACTGCTAGAATTAGTAAGAATTGAAAACCCTATTATGTTAACTTTTATACGGGTGGGACTTGTTCATTTTCCAATGCTAACAGAAGCTTTGATTGAATTTGCGCGTTCAGAGTATGATGTTCAGAAGAAAGCAAATGAGTATTAACTGAAAGGAGCAACAATATCATGCTATTTTTCTTGCTAGCTACACTGAATCAACCACTTCTACTTTTCTCTTTATCCCTTTAATATAGGGGGCAAGCTTATATGTTGATAAATGAAGTTACTCAACTTTATTTTTGTTCACTTTGTCTTTTGGCTTGGAGATCCAGATTTTACCAAAAATCCGATTCACTAATTTGAATCAATGAGCTTAAATTAATAACAGGACAAGGTTAACAACAACCCAAGACTCGGTTACCGTCAAGATATACGGATCATTTAGGAACATAATTTCATTTCCATGAAACGAGTTTCCTGCTGTCACTCATAAACACTGAACAGGTGACGATACGTGCCTTAATTGTAGTAAGTTAGCTTACAAACTAACCCAAAGGTATGGTAAATGAAGTGGGAGGAGAATCATGAGGTCTCAAGTTAAATCTTGGTGGAGGCAAAAGAGACTAGGTGAGTTCTTCCCATATGCCTAAGCGTGTTTGTGAGTAGAGTCACTTGATACTTATGCTGGTGGGAGGGAGAGTATCCAGTGGCATAGTCGGTGTGCACATAAGCTGGCCCCAACAACAAAAGCAACACAGTGTAATCCCACAAGTGGAGTCTAGGAGGGTAGGATGTACACAGTCTTACCCCTACCTTGGAAGGGCAGAGAGACTATTTCCGATAGGCCATTGGCTAAAGAAAGGATGGAAGAAACACTTATAGCAAGTAATATCAATACAAGGTATTTAGAAAACAAAACCCAAGAAAGCAAAAGAGAGTATGAAAGAAGCACTAATAGTCAGTAATAATAGTACAAGATATGAAATGATAACTAACTAAGGGCGTACGGAAGGCAAGTAACAACAGTGCAAAATATGTGGTAATAGCAAAATAAGAATAAAAGGGATACCAAAATACACTAGTACTATTGAACTAAGGAAGACACAGGGAAATACTCGACTACCTACGAACCTTCTACCCTAATTCTTAGCCTCCACACCCTCCTATCAAGGGTCATGTCCTCGGTTAGCTCCAGCTGGCCCCAACACCATCGTCATAAAAAAACGTTAGCCTAAAACGGTTCGGCCATCTTCAAAATGAAAAACCAAAATGCTGTTGTATGAGCGAATGCTGTAATGTACTAGTGTGCCAAGACTTCCCTCAATTTCAAATTTAGGCTCTAATCTTTCTTGTATTTTTTTATTTATAAACAGGGTACTAGGCTAGGGTCCTGTAATGCGTGCCGAACAGCCAAAAGACTCAATGAAAGAGATGGACTGGAAAACTCTGGGTGGAACAGAAAGTAATGAATCTGGTATTGTACCAGCTGTGAAGAAACGGCTACCTAAAAAAATTCGACAAGTTCCTGAGTATTATTTTCTTCCACGAAGATCCTTACCATACAACATCGCCTTTTACGGGTCATTTATTGCTGCTGGTGTTGGTGCAGGAATGCTGCTTGAAGTATGGATCAACAAGAAGATAAAAGGTAATCACTTACTACTATAATTCGAAATAGACTGAATCGTATATGTCATCAGTTTCCAGTTTTAGTATTTGAGCATACGTCAGTAGCATGGAAAGCCTATAGCTTCTTTTACGAGCTCTGTTTGAAGGCAAATTATAAGGTGCTATTTGTCCATTCTTATTGATAGCATATAGAATCTTTTAACGAGCTATCTTGGGGTTCCCAGAAAACGTGTTATGTTGTAATGCATATAATCCTTCTCTAGGTTATATCAAAATACTTGAGGATACTGCTCAATTATTCAGATTTGGCTGTTAAATTGTTTGGACGCCGTAAATGCTTGTCATAAGATTTCTACTCTGTACTTCTCTTCTCGTCCCATTGAGAATGACTCACACCGACTATATGGAAATAATCTCCATCAAAAAGCCCTTGTGGGGTGCCAAAGGCAAAAGTGTAAAATTAACAGCATATCCTGAACTCAGAGCAGTTCTCCAGGCACATCTCCTTAGAAACCTTTTCTAGTGCAGCACAACATCTGTTTGATTTATCTTGTATTTTCCAATCATATGGGGTGCAGCCCTTCCCCAAACCTATGAACGTGGAATCTTTGTGCACCGGGCTGCCCTTTATAGTAATTTTCTCTTTTCCTCTATTTGTTGGTTTGTCTTTAAGTTGATTTGCTCTCTGATCGCAGAGGATGGAGGAGTCATTTGGGAGTTTGACAAATGAATGCTGGATTTTTTCTCAGCAGTTTCTACTATTAACGTTTCAAATGCTCTTTCGTCCTAAGGGGTAAACGTGGTTCGGACAGCTGAATTTTGAATCCATTAGCACATGATTATTAATCTTTCTTTTGCATCCAAACCAATTTTGTAACAATATATTTCAGGAGAGATGATGAGCTTAATTGAAGCAAGCACGTTCAGTGAAGAAGCTTAGTATTGTTGTGTATTTCAGGGGAATTGTGTCGGAATTTGCAAATTCTACTGAAACATTAAGTTATATAACGCCATAATGGCTTAATATTTGAAAATAGAGACATCAGGCAAATGGCCATGTTATTTGTACATTATATCCCTTTACAATTTTAACGGAAAAGGGTCATATTTACTCATACTCTTCAAAAAGGGTTATATTTATTCTTTGTTATACTTTTTTGATATATTTATCCTTATCGTTATACTTTAGGATCATATTTGTCCCTGTACTCTTCAAAAAGGGTTACATTTGTCCTTCGTGATACTTTTTTGACATATTTATCCTTACAGTGATACGTTAGGATCATATTTGCCCCTCATCAATTAAATCCCATGTCCCACCTTTGTTTTCCTACATGGTGCCTATGGGGATTTTCTTTGTCACCTATTTAAGATAATTTAACCTGCCCACCCAATTAAACTAGACCCACTAACTAAAATAAACTGAAATCCTAATTCCCCCCNATCAAGTCCGAGTGAGAAAATTTTGGACAATGAGTGAATGAAACTATAGTGTTACCTTTAATCCATCCGACGACGACAACTCGGTTCAGTCTCGCTTATAGAGGCTATTCAATACTTCACTCATCTTGACATTTTCTTAAATAAACTTGAATGTTTTCTTCGAGTTTTAGGTTTCTGACAGTGCTCTATTCTAAGCACTGACCTTTGTCATTAATTCCATTGTTATGTAACTTCTCGTAATGTACTTTGGTTACTGCAATAATTGTGAGCTGTATTAGATTAGTGATTTTGAGTTCAAAGTTCTTGTTTTCCAATATGTTGCCGGTGCTACCCGAAAAACATAGAGCTGAAAAAGAACTTTATCTTAAATATGTGACCATATTTAAATTGGGTGGGCGGGTTAAATTATCTTAAATAGGTGACCATATTTAAATTGGAAAAAAGAAATCCACATAGGCGCCATGTAGGAAAACTGGGACATGGAGATTTAATAGATGAGGGGCAAATATGATCCTAAAGTATAACTGTAAGGATAAATATGTCAAAAAAGTATCACGAAGGACAAATGTAACCCTTTTTGAAGAGTACAGGGACAAATATGATCCTAAAGTATAACTGTAAGGATAAATATGTCAAAAAGTATAACGAAGAGCAAATATAACCCTTTTTGAAGAGTACAAGGACAAATATGTTACTAAAGTATAACGGTAAGGATACACATATCAAAAAAGTATAACGAAGGACAAATATAACCCTTTTAAAGAGTACAGGGACAAATATGACCCTTTTCCGCAATTTTAAATTTAAGAGAATGGCCTTCTTAAATCCCTTATATGTAAACAACAGATCTTTTACTAAAACTAAATACAAGTTTGTAAAGGGCCAAAAAACTAATTGACCCGCAAAAGTGTAACTTGAGTCATTTAAAAGTAAATGACTAGAAAGATTATCTCCTCATATTTGGCGAGACTTGAATTGTTACTTGGACACGGTTCAAAACTATTATTTCTTTCTCTCAACATTATCTTCTTTTTAGTTTGTTCCAAAAATAATACTATATTTTTGAATTTTGAAATAATCTAATTTTACACTTCTAAGTTTACTATTAATAATATGATTATTTTATAGGCATATAAATATTATAATACGTTTAAAATCACAAGTTTCAAAAAAAATGATTCGATACTAAAGTAGATTCGACACTAAATAAAGAAATGATAGTCCTTCTCAAAGGACTAAAACTGGCTTTCACTAAGAATATGTACGCATTGATATTGAAAACAAATTCTCACGTATTAATTGATTCAATAACATAATGCAAATATTTTTGCAAGCGGTGTCACATTTAAACGGGGAACAAATAAATTAAATTAGTATAATACAACACATTTTCCCATTTTAAACAAATAAAATGGACTTTTGGCCCACTGGGTATAGGAGGTTTGGCAAAAAACACATCCGGCAAAAGGAAGGAAAACAAGAACCGGACCACTAAAAGAAGAAGTATTTTGTAAAATATTAGAAAGTCATATTTACGGCTGATAATTGAAAAATAGTCATAATTTTAAAGTAATTGAAATATAGCCACTTTTCAAGTAAAGATAAAATTTGAACAAAACACTCTTAAAAATCCGGAAATATTCCAGTATAATATGCTGGAATTCGAACTTTTTACATATTAGCTACCAACATAATATGCTGAAATTTTAAAATGTGCTGGAGTTCCATTATAATATGCAGGAGCCAGCGCCAGATCCACATTTAGTGGTGTGGGTGCTTAAGCACCCGTTGTCTTTAGGGTAGGGTCTTTGTATTTTATGAGAAATTAATGGTAAACTCAAATATAAGAGCGATGAGCACCCACGAACTAAAAGCTGAGCTGAGTGCTTTGGTTTAGAGATTACATTGTAGGCCTTTATATTGTTTGTTTGGGGGATCGAAACTGGTGTGAAGGTAAATGCTTTTTTGTATGTTTTGCAATGGGGATGACCTTTCCTTGTTTGATTGTTTCCATTCTTTTCTATTTTTCGTTTGCCCTTGTTTGAGCTATTTTTCCATATTTCTGGTTACCTTTTTCCTTTCTTTTTTTCCCCTCCAAATTCGTTTTTCTTTCTTTCTTTTATCTGCTACTATCACTTAAAAATATTTCATGTGTGGAGATTGATGAAATACTTTTACTGTCCAAAAATAGTACTCCATTTAATTTTGTTGAAATGTTCCTAATAATATATTTTTGAGCAAAGATCTTTAGCCCACGGTCAAAACTATTTATATTCGATAGTCGCAAAAGTGTATACAATTTATATACTTCTTGTAATGTTTTTATATATATATATATATACACACACACACAGAGTGTCTCATTTTAAGTTTCAAATAGTCATACACGTATACTATGCATCAACTTAACTTATAATAGAGGACCCGTTGCTTTAAAATCCTGGATCCACCATTGGCAGAAGCTCCATAAATCTCACATATTATATTGGAACTTTTCTTGTGCTGGAATTCCAACATAATATGCTGGAAGTTTTGTATACTGTCGAAATTAGGTATGCCCAATTTCACGGGCTCGAGGGGGTCGCCTCAAGCCCGAGTTCAGGATGGGTCAATTTTGAGCCTGATGGATCAAGCTCAAGCCCGGCGACAAAATATAAGGCTCGAAGATCGAAGTACGCAATGAGCGCCAAAGCTAAGTGCGACCGACCCCGAGATGATGTTGTTATGAGTTTGTAACAGAAAAAGCAAGATTCCCGCCACATCCCCAAGATCATGGCATAAATTCCGTAATAGATTTGTACGAGTTAGTACGAATCTGTACTAGGCGGTTGGACAACTGCTCCAATAAGATTCCTTACTGTAAATAGAAATGTACCTTATTTAGGGCTCTCCCATTATATAAAGGGGACCCCAATCATTTGCAACCATCATCAATCATTGACAAAGAATATACGCTCTTACTTTCTTGCTCATATTTCATCATAATTGTCCTTTAGCTTTGTTGTTCTTACTTTATTGTTCTTGACCTACCTCGAGGCCGCCTTAGCTCGAGGTCGAGACTGGCTTGTACACTGGTTTGATTTTATTTATTCCTTTCATTCGCACATTATACTTCTTGGTTATTAATTAGTATTGAACTAAAATACATATCTTTAAAACCACAAACAAGTTTAATTGTTACTCGTATTTTCGAGGTAAACAGTTTTGCGCCCACCGTGGGGCTAAAGATAATAATGATTATTTTAGTACTGATTCTGATAACACATGTTATTTTCACACTTGTTCTTGTCAAGAATTTTTGTTCTCAAGTTAAAACATGCCAAACTCACAAAACACACCCATACACGGCGATGGTGATCTTGGATTTCATGGGGAAACAACAATGTAGGGGTCGATGTACCATCGATTAACCCTGGGGAAGTGCCAAAAATGGAACTAGTCGAGGTTAGTTCACACAATGCTTTGAATGCGGATTTAGGCGCAGACCCCAGAGGAAGTGTACGAAGGGAAGCCCGATCTGGTGGCCAAGGAACACAAGGTATAGGAGATGGGAGAGTCAGACTCCAAGTAATATTCGAGATGCTACAAGCTCAACAGGTTGCTATCGCTCAACTTTAAAGTCAGCACCGAACTTCAAGTATAGTCGAACCAAAAAATATTCGACGCACTAAGCCTGTGCCAAAAAAATCAAGCGGTAATGGCTCGGGGACTGATCCCACAATTATGAGGATGCTCGAGGAACTCACCAAGAGAATCGAGTCCGAGGAGAAAAAGATTGAGGATAATGATAAAAAAAGTGGAGACTTATAACTCCTGTGTTGATCAAATACCGGGGGCACCCCCGGTCTTGAAAGGTTTGGATGCTAAGAAATTCATACAAAAGCCATTCCCTCTGAGTGCGGCTACAAAGTCCATTCCTAAAAAGTTCTGTATACTCGATATACCCAAATACAATGGGACAACCAATCCTAATGAACATATTACTTCATACACTTGCTGGATTAAAGGAAACTACTTAAATGATGATGAGATCGAGTTAGTATTGTTGAAAACATTTAGGGAAACTTTATCAAAAGGAGCCATGATTTGGTATCACAACTTGCCACCGAACTCTATCGATTCGTTTGCTATGTTAGCAGACGCCTTCGTGAAAGCACATGCTAGGGCCATAAAGGCTGCGACAAGGAAATCAAACATTTTTAAGATAAGACAGAGGAATGATGAGATGCTCAGGGAGTTTGTATCTCGATTTTAAATGGAGCGAATGGAATTACCACCGGTCTCGGATGATTGGGCAGCACAAGATTTTATGCAGGGATTGAACGAGCGGAGTTTGATCGTGTCACGATAGTTGAAGCAAAATCTGGTCGAGTATCCAGCTGTGACGTGGGCAGATGTACATAATCGTTATCAGTCAAAGATCAGGGTCGAGGACGACCAGCTGAGAGCCCCTTCGGGCTCCGTTTATCCAAATAGATTGGTGGTTAAGTCCCCGAGGGATATAGACATGGAAACGAGATCAAATAGGGAACAGTATCAGCCGTATGGCTCGGAATGAAGAAACAACGGTTCAGAGTGCAATCCTCCTCGGAACGATCAGAGAAATGATCGAGGATAGAATACTCGAGGACTTATGAGTAAGCATGGTTTTTATAAACATACCGACCTTGCTGA